TTCCTGTTCATTTTCAAAATTGTATGTTGCAAGGTATATGCGGCAAATGGTTGCATATTTGCTGCCAGTGAAGCTGCTGATCTCAGTGACACGATGCACCTGTTACGACATAATAAGTCACACATATTTCCCTACATCTGCGATATAAACAGAAATATGGTAGATACCTACCTAATCATTTCGCCTTTTGAAACGATATGACTCATCCCTTTTCTTTGAAACCTCCAGCAAAGGCGTTTATTCGATATACCAGGTGCGTCTTTCGAAAAAATGCTTTCTACTATACGCATATGGTAATGAAATGGAAACCAAAAGATTTAAAATATATTCTAATTATGAAACTGAAAGGAGGCCTGCAATTTTTGATATGCCTTCGCTATAATATTCAAAATAAGACGGCAAAGAAGCGCCTAGAAGGAGATGTAGTCGTATTTTTTTGCAGATCTGAAGAGACCGAAGAAAAAAGAGAATATTAGACTTTCAAATGTGCACGATATTGTGTTGAAATTTTGGGGATTTGCCACACCTGACAAAATTTGCTACCCTCGCTCTCCAAAATTGTTACTCGTCCCCCAAAAAAATGATTGAAGACCTAGCGCGCCATTTATAAGATAGGTTATCTTTTCAAAGTATATTTCTATGAATCTATTTTTGTTTTCTGTTACTGACTTACTGTCCGGTGGCAGAATTCGGATTTCAAAATCAAATGTTTTCGTAACCGTTAGGCAGCGGGGAAGGGGCCCCGCTAGCTTCGTCATTCGTGCGGGTGTTTAGTCATGACGTTCCATTGGACGGGAGAACAACGCGTGTTAACAATCGAAGCATATTTAAAGGCAAATATTCGACGAAAACATGATGCTTGGAGCAGTGAAGAACCGATTCGTTCTTGGGTGTGGAGGTTCCGAGCAACTGGTTCAGCAGCAAACAACCCGCATCTTAGCTCTTAAAAATATCGTTCGCGAGGTTAATGCTATCCCACAATCACTTCTGCAGCGAATGGTCAACATTTATATAACATGATTTTCAAGAAACAAAATCCTCACTATTCTTCTTTATAATAATAATCGAAATAGCTGTTTACCTTTTGTAGTTGTTTTTTCAATTTAGATTTTAAATCCGAATTCTGCCACCGGATACCCTATAGATAGCGCTAGAATCTTTCAGATTATCTTATTGTGTGCCGGAATACGGTTAGCTATTTTCAGCTAGAATACGTTAATAAATGGTATACGAGTATCTAAAAACGTGCGTTGGTATTTAAACGAGGCACTGCCTCACCGTTGGATTGGCCGAGGTACTGCACAAGATTTGGTATTGTTTGCGTGGCCTCCCGACCTTACACCATGCAATTTTTACCTTTGGGGTTACATTAAAGATATGGTTTACATACCACCTCTGTCAACAACATTGGGTCAACTCCGGGAACACATTACTACTGTTATTAACAATATCGACCGAGACACATTGCAGCGTGTATGGGCCGAATTGGACTATCGTTTGGACATATGTCGTGTGACGCGAGGAGCCCACATCGAACATTTGTAATAACATGCTTAAAATCTTGAATATATTGCCTTTCCATTGACATGTCACTTACTGATGTATCTATAATAACTTCAGAAATATAAATTTTTAGAACCCGACGATTCTTTTGTAATGACCCTGTTCTTCCTACGCCTTCATTTGAGATTTCACGAAAAAACGAGAAGTCGTTTCAAAAGGAGAAATCGAATCGTGATTAGGTAGGTTCATTTAGGTTCGATAAATATTCGACCTCTACAATTCAAACTAAACAAACCTATATCTGTTTCCATGGCAGATCTAGGGAAAACATGTGTGACTCAGTATGTCTAATAGGTTGACAAACAATATTTTTTTAAATCATATTCAAAATTTGCACCTATGCCAGATATATATATATATATATATATATATTGTTATTGTATTACCGGGGTCAGCAGGTTCTTAATAAATAGAAGGTATTTCACACAAACATGCAACAATTTACAAACATTTATCCTATACAGCTTCCAACTTACAATTTTCATCCTCTCCAAACAATGTCTGACAATGAGAAGGAATCTCTGAAACGTTACTATGTTCCAGCGATTTTTATTTTTTTTGTCCATAGTTACGCCGCCTCTGAATCAATTTTCAAAATCTACAACTACCTAAACGAAGGAAATATAAAACTCGCGATAATATTCGAACTTCAGTTCACAAGTTTTCTGTTGCTTAAAGATATCTGCATCATACAAGGCCTTATTTATGTCCGTGTGTCAGTCCGTCTCTGTTGTATATCAATGCGTCACGAGTACTGAGTAAATCTACTTGACAAAATATTTAGAGAACCATCAAAGACGGAGCATCACAAATTAAAGGTTAGACGAAATTAGGAGGTACATTTAAGGATAATAAAATTCAGAAAAATAATTGTGTATATGGTATATAACAACATTTACAAAAGCATCGCGGAACGCTAAAGTGGTACGTGCTCCTAATATCCAAATATTGCTCATATAAATATTCTCATCTAGCGGTGTGTCAGTGACGACAACACCTCAGATTCACGCCAACGACTGCCAAAATTATCCAGCGTCTCTGGAATGTGCAATGTTGAGCGATTTTTGATTTTTCGTGTATTTACCCGATTATAAGCAGACAAACCGACGAAAATGAGTCAGTCTTCGTCATGTACCCATCAAGTAATATTCAAAAAACCTATTTCTTTTTCGAAATGTTTTGCGATTATAATACTTCCTCGTCAGTTGGCGTAGGAAAATGAGGCTTAGTTTTGAAATGTTGACTTGACCTTGAATGTCATGATCAAGGTCACCTTTGGGTGACGATGGCATGGTCTTGAAGTCGATGATCAAGGTCATGTTTGAACGAAAATATTGCTCCTCTTTTCAATTCCGATGCGAGATAGCCGATTCCATTTGACCATTTGAAGTCGAATGAAACACAAAAATGTTCACATTTATTTGTAAAATTTTTTATAGGTCAGTTATTTTTCCTTCAAGGACTTTAAAAAAAAATTATGAATTTTTTATTATAAATAGTGTATTTTATAAATAGTAACATATTCTACATGATAAGCTAAAATTAAAAACATAATGGTGTGGAATTGAAATGATAGTGTTAAAGCCCTTTGACATCTAACATCTGTTAACAGACAATATATACAACCGATAAAACAGACGCATTAAAGCCAAAAAATTATAACAAATTTTTTTTCGTTTATTTCTAAAACATATTAAGTGCCTTGAATTTTTACATTACAAAGTGGTAGTCCAGAGTTTTTAGGAAAAACTGCAGCATATTTAGCGCCCATTTTTCCTCAAAACTGTCGAGGCCTAGATCTGATAACGCTTTTCCTAGTCTAGGAAGTAAATAAGGAAAAAAAAACATCTTACACGTGGGAGAATTTTTTTAAGCGTTATTGCCAATTGATTTACAATACTTTAAAACAAACTGTTCCTAAAATTATCTTAGGGGCCTTGTAGGAAAAGGTCAATCCAAATGCTTGGAAACCTGAAAATATTGATGTTTACCAGGGTTTTTAAGCCTTAATAAATTATAGTTTTAAAAATTAAAAAACACGCTTTAATAGCAAATTGAACTAAAAAATAAAAATAATGTTCAAGTATAGGAAATTTTGTGTTACTGCAATAGTCCAAAGTCCAACAATGAAGTATAACTAATTAATTTTTAATAAAATCAATATGAAAATTAAGATATTGACAAAAAATTCAATTATAATAATAAAGCGTGGGGTGCAAATAACTATATTTTCATAATAGCTCCAATTTTATTAATAATACTAAAAGCAATATAAAATTAAGATACTCGTGCTCGTTATTTTTTTTTTTTTTTTGCTTTAGGACTAAGCCATGCAGCCAGAAACTAGGTTGTATATAGAATATATCTAATTATGTACAAACACACGGCGTCACAACATCCATGGCGAAGGCGAGATTCGAACTCGCGACCCGGCCGGCCGGCTGATCAGTAGCACGACACTCTGACCCACGCGGCCAACCGCGGTCCCGTGCTCGTTATTAAGTGTTAGAATTATATTTTCAGTTCTACTTACAAAATTGAAGTTATTATGAAAATACTAGTTAATTACACTCCACGCTTTTTTACTATAATTGATTTTTTGTTAATATTTATATTGCTTTCATTACAAATTAATTAGTTATACTTCATTGTTGGACTTTAATTGAAAATCATTTTCTACTTTTTAGGTCGATTTGCTATTAAAGCGTGTTTTTTAAACTATAATTCATTTTCTGAATTTTGAGTCTAAAAATACGCTCAGATCCAGGGTGCCATTTTCAGAATTTACAAATTATTTTATTTTGCAAATTTCCGAATTTTCTAAATCATTTTCAAAATTTCCAATTCTTTTCCAAAATTTTCAAAGCCTCAAATTATTTTCTGAATTTCCAAATTATTTATTTTTCCAAATTTCAAAATTCATTTTTTTAAACCTTAGAATTCTATTTTTTTCCAAGATTAATGTTTTGTTATCGGGCACTTGACCCCTGTGCAAATGTTTAATTGTCCAAAATCTCTTTAACATTCCCAATTCTTTTTCAAAATTTCCAAATCTTCAAATGATTTTCCAAATTGCCGAATTATATAATTTTCGAAATTTTCAAGTTAATCAGACTTCTTGAACTCGAAAGTTAGGTTGATAGATTCCGTTACATACGTATAGGTCAAGCGTGTTGAACATTACCACTTTTAGAGCTTTTTAGACAAATCTCTTATAGCTCGAAAACAGTCTTTTTAGAGAAAAGTTAAACAAAGAAAAAAATTGTCCGGATGAAAAAAAAGTATGTATTCGTAATTTTAAGGAAAACATCGATTCGATAAATTTCTCCCACGGATATCTAGCTTTTCGTCTTTTCTATAACTAGTCAATTGTCACGAGCTCTAGACCTAGCCCTCTCCTCTAGACCATTTCATTTCAATGGAAATCATTAATACTATCATTTGTTGCGCGACCTCTTCGTAGATCGCTGCTCTTCCTCAACTTCTAACTCTTCGGGCACCTCCAAATCCAACTCTTTCGCCTTCTGCGCAAAATACTTCAACAATCTCACACCGCATTTGTACACTTCAGCGTCGGAATTATTGTACGTGTTGCAATTCTCGAATATCAACACGACATCGTCCATAACCTCACTATCCTCGGAGTACTCGCCCATGTTCAGCTTGTACTTAATGGTCCCGAAGTCCATCGGTTTCTCTATGACTTCATAATAGTCTGGTACTTCGGACTTTTGCACGGGTTTCAAGAACGGCCAAGCGTCATCGTGTTTTATGACGTCACTGAGCAGTTCTTGAAGAGCTGCGTTATGTAGGGGCAAATATCTGTCATTTCTTCTACCGCCTGTTCGCGCGCCATTTTCAGGTGACGAGGATCGTTTGCGTTTTGTCTCGGATTTGTTTTTGCATTTTTCGCATGTCCAGGCGCCCCTAGGGGCTCGCCTCATCGGGGGCTTGCAGCATTCTAAATGGTAGTACACTGAGCATTTTTCGCAGGTGATTACTTCCCCGCCTGAGCCACATCGCTTGCATAACCTGGAAATGAAAATAATTTTAAAGCATTGACAAACGTATTTTACCTGAAAGGTCATAGGGTCACATCTATGAGACAGTAATAATGATCATATTGCCACGAGTGATCAACCTGTAGTGCCTTACACGCGCCATATAGGTCGATAGATACCCTGAATCACTGAGAAATGTGCACATCGTCGGCAAATAATGCATAATCTGTAAAGGTGTATTATTCGCCGCCGGTGGGCGTTCTAATCGGTGTTTAAAAACTGGATGGACCGACACGTGGGATTATTCCTGCCCTGGGATCACTCGGGGCGAATCTCTTTTCGTAGGACTGGACCTTCCTGGCCCAAAAAGTAAGTACCTTTTTCATTTTATTGTCCTTTTATTTGCGCGGCGTTTTGTTAATATAAATAAATGGGATTTACTGGCGTATATGCAATAGCATTACTCAAAAAGAGATAACTAGTCGGATTTAAAATACACATAAAATATGAGGACGAAGAAACATTAATGACAAATACAAGACACATTAAAACAGATCACTAAAATCGTTGTCCATAAAATCGGATACATATAAAAGGCTCTCCTAATTAAGTATCTCTATAGAGTGTCTTCTTAAGCCATGTACAGATATGTATCAACATCGCGAACCGAACCACGCGACGAACCCCAGCGCGCGCATTTTGACGAAGAAGATTGCAACGAACATCACCACAAACCGAACGAAGTCGTGCAACCACATCGCGCAACAAAATGACGATCCAATTTTCATGTTTGTCGTTCAGAGAAAGGCGAACACTAGCGGAAATGGATACAGCAGTAGCAGTAGCTGCCTATGTTTATATTCACTACTAATTATCCAAAAACAACGACGATGGTAACAAACGCAGTTATATACCAATAGAATCATCAAACGGGTACAACAATTTGATAGCGGAATTGAAATTCCAACAAGTGGACAGTACAAAAAGAAACAAGACACAAAATAGAGAGCCGCCATCACAGTGTAAGGACTTGCAGTCACGGTGCGATTTTTAGCGACCGGTGATTCATATAGTAGTTTGCAATACATGTTTCGAATTTCAAAGCAAAAAATCAGCTACATCATTCCAAAAGTTTGTGAGGCACTGATCGAAGTTTTAAAGGAACATATACAAGTAAGAAAATCATATTATATAATAACACATTGGTCCTCGCCGAACCGGTATGCCTGTCCAGACATGTGCAACTTCGTCGCGAGCCATTCCTTTGATGTTGCGCTGAAAAACCGACACAGCCTAGATAACGCTAATCAGGTTCGCGACGGCGATATTTTCTCCGCCTACACTAGCGCGGCGAGGTTTATCGCGTGGTTCAGTTCGCGGTGTTGTTACATATCTGTACATGGCTTTAAAATGTTCACTATTTAGTGACTTAACTGACTCTGGTAAAACGTTGTTCACTTAATACCATAGAAGTCATGTCCATCTCTGGCTCTCTGCACCCTTCTATATGGAAGTACTAAATTTTGACCAAATCTGGTTTGGTAACTTTGAAAATCCAAGTTTCTAGTGTAGTTGCTTATATTTCCCCTGACCCCTGACCGTTTCAAGATATATATATATATATACTCGTTAAGGTCAAAATACCCATGTCGACAAATACATTACCACAGGAATAACTGTATCCTAGCCCCCTCACGCAGTTTCTTTGTATTGTCAAAAGCATAAAAATGAATTTAGAAATCTACTTTAAAAAGGGTTGGGGATTCTGTTATCTCATACATGGCGTTACGATATCCAATCCCTTTTTAGGTTCTCTCTAATAATGCGTTCTATTTATTTACATGAACATACAGGGTGATACAATGAAAATGGAAAGTATTCTTATGAGCAAACTGGAAAATATATCAAAAATCTGTTTTCGTGGCAACCTTGATATGTTACTAGTACATATTTTAAAATTATTTTAATATATACAGGGTGTTCCATAACTTAGTGCCTTAGCAGACATGTTTTTTACAACAGAACACCCTACATTTCGTTGCATATTTGATTAGAACAACAAGAAGTCTGATATCACATAACATTCGATTATCAATTATTTAGATATTTGGACAACCGACTGAAAAAATGCCCAGTTTTGACGGTTCGCAGCTCTGACACTAAACTGTTACCAAAACCAGATGTGCAAAATCTTATTAAAAAAAGATTATTTTAAAGCTCCCAAATATAAGTTTTTGCTTATTTTAGGTATTTTATTTAAACTATTTTTAAATTAAGGTAAACATTCCTGAACTGAGCGTCTGGGGCACTTGATATACCTCATCGTCTTATGCCATGACTAATCCAAGCCGTCCGAAAAAACAGTCGACGTTTCTAGAATTTTTGATCTTTTTTGGCAATGAATCTTAACAATTCTCTGTAATTTCCTCTATTGTCAGAGTCATCCCCTTCAAAATGAACGGTAATTCCTGTTTTGCCAACAAACATACGGTATCTAGAAGTGTGCTGCCTAAAAGCTTGGTTAAGACAACTTTCGATTCTTGTTTTGCCAAACTGAATTAAATTGGCTACACATCTCACATGTAACGGAGAAATTGTCTCCTCTTTAGAGCCCTAAAACTATTTAAATCGTTGCCTCCGCTGCTGGTCCACCCATTTTTTCTGTATAAAACAGCCCACAATATACAATCTGTTTTTTGCATCCACATAACCAAGAGTTATATACCAACTTAATTTAAAATATCAAACTACGTTTTTTATTCCTTTTTAAACTTATCTAAAATAGGTGTTGGACTTCCATTTTCAATGATCTCCTTTTTTTCTTAAAAATTATACAAGGAGGATGACTTTTCAAGTAGTTGATCGATTACGCAGCGACACTCATCCATGTTTAATTGCACGCACACTACAGCCGGTAACCAAAACGGATACTAACGAGTGAGAAGTGAATAACCAAATCAAAACATGTCAACAAGTCCGCATAATAGTCGAAGCGCCTCACGCACTCGGGCGACCGCGATCAGACTCGAGCCGGTACCGACGGTCCCCGACGGACTACCAAGTGTATCCATAAATGAAAATGGTAACAACCGACAACCAAAGTCGAGGCGAGTCAGCTTCATCGTGTTCGTAAAACCTAGACTCTATAGGGCGCATTATTTTCGTGGGGCTAATTTGCTATTTACTGAATTACTATTACATGTTGCTGTTGGTATACAAATACATGAAATTATTTCACAGTACTTAGTCATAAAATATTTATTTTCAAGATTTTTAACTGTTACCAATGGTAAAAATGGTTACATGGACGCTTCGCGACTGGTTGAGAGATATAAATAGAAAGAAATTTTAGCACTTTTTCCAGATCAGCTTAAAATCTATCATGATAAAATTTTAGTGAACTAACATTTATCTAATAAATATTCATGAATATTTACGTTGGACTGATGAGGATTAGTTGTGTTTTAAACATACATAATGAGTTTAAGCTCTCAAGTTTTAGAAAAACTAATCTCCTGATGAGTTATTTCAGCTATTTCCTTCGGCGGCCTGTTTTTACAGCAATTTATAATTTGCTTTAAATTACGATTGAAATAAAAAAAAATCAATGGAATAAAATCATGGTTTAAATTGTTTGATTTAAATCGTCGCAACCGTTTTTTTCTATAATCAAAAAAATGACAAACAAAATAATCATGATTTTTATCAACCATGGAACGTTTTCACAACTCTGACGCGTTCACCCACCCCAACCCTATATGAAAAATAAAATCAATACTAACCTTTCTTCATCGGCGTCATCATCTTCTTCCTCTTCATCAACATCATCTTCTTCCTCGCCACTCTCTTCTTCCTCGACATCCTCATCCACGAAAATCTTCCTCTTCTTCGCAGGTTGCGGCTCCGAAGGTTGTTTTAATCTCTCTTCTTTCTCCTTCTCCTTCTTGCACCTATCGCAGAACCAATCCCCTTGCGGTATACTCGACAACTTTGGCTTCAAACAATACAAATGATGTCCTAGATTGCAATTGTCACACAACAGCATATTCTCCGAGTCCTTTTGTCTTCGACAAATGCGACATCTGGCGAGTAACGCTGATCGAGACCACATTATGCAAGAGTCTAAGGTGAGATAGTGGAGGAATATCTGACTAAAGCTGGTGCTTGCGGCCAAAGATTGTTCCCATTTGTCTAAGAGATCGCCGTGAGATTTTTTGCTTCTCCAGCCTTCAGCATGGCCGAGGGGTTTCTTGAGGTACTTAGGTTCTAAGGAGTAAGCTACTTGAGTCAACGCTGTCGTTAGAGCTTTCAGAGATTTTTTGAGGTTTTCTTGTTGCTCAATGTCAGCTGATTCGCTTTCAGTACAGCCAAGGAACTTTGCCGGATCCTGATACTTTTCTTCTTTACTAGGAATTTCTGGTGTAGCTGAACGGCTATTACTATTTCTATTCTCCTTCTTAACATTCTCCACCTTCTTGTCTTTTGTCACATGCTCATTCAAACTATCATACTCTTTACTTTGCAAACAATTTCTCCACGCTTCTCTATTCTTAACCGAAAGCTTCCCTAAACCTCCTGCAGACATTTTCTCTTCCAACTCCAAAATATTATCTACCAGCGCATTTTCAAGCACTTTTTGAGGATTCATATCAACAGGGTATCCGAGATTGACGTCTTCATACTTATTCTTCCCTCTTTTACTAGTCTTCTTAGATTTCTGTTCTTGGTCTTCATCCTCACTTTGAGGAACTTTGACATTCGGATTGAGCGTAGTAACTGGGGTCTCCTCAATCAGAGCCATCAATCTTTCCTTGTTATTTTTTATCATACTCAGAAGTTCACCTTCTCTTTCTCCTCTGGGATTCAAAGTATTCTCAAACTCCTCCAGCTGATTCTTGTCATGGATGAATAACCACTTTGGACGTTTCACCTTATCGGAGTGTACTTTACAAGTCTCAGGGTCAGTATTACACATCAATAGATCTGTCAAAGTATGTTCGTCTTGTTTTGTCAAAGAACCGTTCAGAGATCCGTTAAATTTTTTAGGAGATTTCTTGGGAGATCCATCAGATTTGTTTATAAAATTCTCTCTAAAATACTTATTCAAAATTGAGGTACTAGGGTTTACCAAATTAGAATACTGGTGAACTACCTCTGAGAGGCATTCTCCGTTGTTCCCTTCCCAATTCACAAACAAACCAGGGATTGAGTTGAGTTTCAGGTACTTTCGGAATGCTCTGTCATGTCCCAAAAAATCCACAGATTCGTAGATACTCTTATGCAGCTCTTCTATCTTGTTAGTGTTCTCTTCATGTTTCTTCTCAGCCTCTTTCTGCAACTTCTCCAACTCATCTTGCAGCTTCGGATCTCCTATCATTTCTTTCTGCAACTTTGATTTGTTTGCCAAGTACTCTCCATGTCTTTTTCTCTCAGCTAGTTGCACAGATTTTAATTCAAGCTTCAATTCCTTTGTACTTTCCAATTTTTCTTCAACAATATCCCTAACATCAGCATATGTCAACAACTGATTCATAAGACAATCTATAATCCTCAGCTTATCCTCAATAGGCAACTCAATGACACATTGGGTTCCCAAGGCTCGCAGAATATGAGGATGTTCTAACCTAAGATGCAAACCTGGATCTGCTTCATTTGTATAACCTCCTCGTTGAGCATATCTCCATCTATATCCTGTTTCGTTAATTCTTACACCAGAGCTCAATAAGTGCAATCTAAGAATCTCAGTAACTGTCACAGCATATAGAGGCAACTTGGCTAAAGGCAATCCCAAATATCTGGAACTCCATTTTGAAGCAAGCGTTGCAAGTCTAGTAACATCTTTCATGCTTAAATCATCTTGAAGTTCTTCATCTTTGATGTCAGCTGTATCTTCAGTAGTAGTTCGGTACTGGCTAGATTCCTCATCTTGTGCATTGAAAAGTGCTGTTAAAAACATTTGTATTATGTCAGCAAAAGGTCCACTGATCTCTAATTCTGTCATAGCTCTCTCTAAAACGTCCAACGTCAAACCTCCAGGAAAGAAATCTTTGGTTGCAAGTAACTTTGAGAATGTTTCCGCGAATTCTGCTATCATCAAAACACTGCCAAAGTGTTCTTCAGGTATCTTCGAGATCACTTGATATAGAACAGGTAGTTTTTGTTGATTTTCTAGTGAGAGATCTTCTTTCGGTCTGTACCACTTCTTCGTTAGACTTATCAACAGGTTGCTTTCTTGTTTTTGCATCTGTTTTTTCGCCAGTTTTTGCTCGTGTTCCTGCTGTTTCTTCAATTTGAACTCTTCTTCTCTTTTTTTAAGTTGCTCCAAGAGATTTGACTGTTTTCTCTCCTTATTTGCTCCATTTGTTTTGGAACTTCTCATCAAGAAATTCGCCAAAGTTTCTTGTTTTTGTTTTTTGCCGTTCATGTAAGGCGACTTCTTTTTAACTGGAGAAAATTCAAAGTCTGGCAAAGGTCCGTCGAAAATTTGGTCCCATTTGACTTTGAAAATCCCGAAATCAGCGAGTACTGATGGTTTTACGACAAAAACGCGTCTGTCATCTTGTTCGACATACTGCTTCAAGAACAACTTGCATTTTTCTCTATTGAAAGCAGCCTTTTTTCTCCTTAACTGGCTACAATCTACAATCATGATCTCACTAATATCATTATCTTCAGCATCCATATGTTCAATTTCATACTTATAAGCTGTAGCAGGGGGCCAAAACTGTCTGTCTTCGTTCTTAGCGCCGTTCTTTCGTGGAGTTTTAGGAAGAGGGTCAGTAGGAGCCATAACCTGTAGAATATGACAGTCTTTCCACTTATTACCAGTAAACGAAGCTTCTATATTCTCACCAATGAAATACCTATTTTTCATGTACATAAAAACATCCTCGGACAACTCCATGAAAGAAGTTCTTTGTGTTTTTGTGGCCAAGTACAGTAAAGGTATCCTCAGTTCAACTGAGAATTCTTGAATGCTTTTCCTAGCTTGCTCCTCACTTTCCAGAGCTTCGATGTAGGTAAGATTTGTTTTTCCAGTGAATGCACAAGTCCACACCATGGAGTTGTACAGGATGATTTTTTCAGAGTATTCTTCATAATCTCGGAAGATTTCGTCGGTGAATTCACAGTAAAAAACTTCGTCTGAGTCTTTCAGGTTTTCTGGGATGGGTGCTTTCTCAAAATGGACTTTTTTGAGAAGCGGCATTTTGGCCTGAAGATGGAAAAATGTATAAAAAACTTATCAAATATCCATGGATTGCATCAAAGTTTACCAGTACTATGCAAAGTATCAACCGCACATTTCGTTAATGTCATTTTAGTTCGTTTTCTGTAATCAGAATTTATAATAGTGGTAGGAATTTTTATTATCTTTCTATTGTTTCATTCATATATTTTTTAAACAGAACAAAATTGATTAGCATCTTGCAGCAAAATTATTACTCATCAAATATAGGTCAAACGTGGTTCCAGAGGGTTGAATTAGGGGAGATACGGTTCATTTCGTCAAAATGGGTATATTACATGGTGGTTCAAGGTTAAAATAAAAGTTTTGCATATAACTCTCAGTACAGCATACACTTTTAAGTTGATCTACAATATACACAAAACAGTTTGGAGCAACAAACACTTTTAGAGAGTGTTTCAAATATGACCTTCACCATTGGGATCTCGGAAATGGTAAAAGATACGAAATTGCTTAAGAACTGAATTCTCCCAAAATGATGTTTTCCTGACATTATCTGTTGTCAGATATTTAAATAAATTGCACATCAACATTGCCACTTGTTCTCCTCTACAAGATGTCATAATTAGAATTTCAATATTTTGTCTCTTGTTCGCCAGCATCAACTTAATTTTTATGGACGCCATATTGGATTTTTGCTCAACTGAATAGTTTTTAATTATGATTTCAAAAATGAATATGCCATTCGTTGACATTGCCAAGACTTAGTTATTTCAGAAAAACTGAAGTTCCTAGGTAGGCCTTGAAATTATCAGATAGTCATTCATTTCACATACCAGACCAGACCTAAAATTGAACATAGCAACAGAGTTTGGAAGGCTGAGAAGAAGAGAATTGCATCGAGCAGTGAACAATGTACAGAGAAGTGGTTCACCATTTTATTTGCTTATAATTATGTATTTAGATCCAAAAACAAATTCATGGCGAACTAAGGAAATACATCACTGAATTTAGAACTGAAAAGTCCATTTAAATGTAAAAAATTCCAATATGGGGTCCATATGAAAAAAGATTGGTGATGGAAGTTGAAAGAAGACAACATGTAATTTATTTTGGAATCCCATCTCAAATGAAGTTACTCTGAGTAACTCAACAGGGCCACTGGAAAGCAGCTCAGGTATGCAAAACAGAATGGAATCAGAATTAAAAAGTGGAAATATTAATGTGCAATTTATTTTGAAAACCCAGTACAAATGAAGCCAGGAAAAATTAAATTGGTATTGTAAAATTTCTGTTTTTTCCGTCTCTTACAAAAGGACCTTGAATATTGAAAATTTCTAAGTATCTCTTACAGTACCCAAGATTTCAAATGGTGAGGGTTGAATTTGAAACACACAGTATACCAATAACTTCATGAATTTTACATCAATTTAAAATTTGTTTGAGATGTTACACATTTATATGAAAAAAATTAAAACAATGAAAAAAATTAAATAACTTACCCCACTTAACAAATAAAATGTGACATGTCATTCAGTGACCAAAAAGTCAACATTTCAAACTACAATATAGTCTATGCCAAGTTGACTGATTGGCTGTCTTTTGACTCATTTATAAATTCCTATAAGTACATATAAACCTTTTCACCCCCATTTCTTCACAATCTAGTCTCTTTTGTATATCATTAAAAATATTTAAATTTATTCCTCAGATAATTCCATATAAAATTACTTCAAAGAACAGGGTGGTAAAATATTTCTTGAAAATGTCTTAATATATTTCTCAAATACTGTCCAATTTCAATAAAATCACATGTTGAGTAGATTTGAATGGGTCATTCCAGTACATTACTAGTTATCCAAAAATTTCACATTTTAATTTGATCACCATAATGTCCTAAGAGTTTCAAAAAACAGAAAAAGTTACATGAGATATGAAAAAAACCTGTACAAACTACAAGTGCTTTTAGAAATTGTATACCTTGCATAGAACAAAGAACAAAAAAACATGATTAGCAGCTATCAGGGAAAAAAGAAAAATAGAAATCATGCTCATAGTAATAGGTGATAGAAATTTTATGATAGCAAGAAATCTACTATCTACTTATTGAGAATTTTTTTTTTATCTTGTATGTTGTGGGAATGCGTCTAAGGCACAAAATAGATAAAAAATAAGGTTCGTACAAACACAGGTTCTAAAATTGCCACCTTATTACAGGGTGTTGAAGTTATAATTTCAAAATCAAAAATATATGTCTTTGGAGTGAGTTATGGTATTGACATACAATTTTGTACATGTATTACTAATAGTACTAAAAGCATAACCACTAAATAAAGCAGAGAAACAAATCTACCTTATCATAGTGGTATTCAAACAATGTTTCCTGTTTTGTCCATGTTTTGCTTCATCTGTGGCATTAAAAAAATATAATACCCTGCACGTTAGTGATAGACCTTCTGCTCTAGAAAAAACATCACTATTTTTTTGAATCACCCTATATAATGATTATCAGCATAATTATGTTGTAATATTGAGATACAGAAAAATAACTGATAATAATTCTTTCTGGTACATACTGTAGCCGATTTAAAAACAAAAACTATGTCAAAGAAAGCGTTTTCACTAGAGTGGTAAACTTTTTGCAATCCGAAGTCAAAACGCAACATTTAAATCCCCACTGCCTGTAACATAACCTCAAAATCAACCAAAATGTGAAATAACAACGAATTTAGTTAGATTCTATGAGCTAAACCAGTAACACCTGCAAACTTCCTCCTACAAACACGTCAAAGTATCTTTTCATACACAAGACACTATACGTGATATAAATACGTGTTTGAAGTGAACTTACTAATGCTCAAAAAGTACTTAAAAACGATATAAGCCAAGAATTTTGAGTGTAAAAGCAGAACTTTGATCAAAGGTCACGTTTTCAGCATCCGCATAAGAAATTGAAGCCACACAAAGGCGTAATACGGTTGAAACAAGATCGTAGTATCCGAGAATTTACCTGAATCGCTGAATAAAGCGGCTCTTTAAATTGCTAGTTCAAGTTGCTAGTGACGTCACGACACCGTTACGCTGATAATATCACTTTTCATCCCGTTTTCCGAGCAATTTAACGTTTATTACAAGAAATTATTTAATATTCAACGATATTCCCTAACAACAAGCTAGGGTACAGGCTGTTTTGGAGGGAAACGACATAATTGTACTTACCTTTTGTATTACTACGACTCACCAGCACTTATGGTCTTCATCCGCAAACAGGCGAAGTAACACTTATCCCTAATTGTTCGCGCGATTGTTATAGGCTTTTTTCGATTTTTACCATGAAAATTTTCGACACAAACGTGCACAAGTCGACACACCACAAAAAAATCGTTAGGTTAGTTGTCTAGACATATGACAAGAATGACAGATGCCAGGATTTTTCCGGCGGTTTCTCATACTGTTTGCATCCTTGTTTCACAAACGCAATTCGCATTCGCCTTCTCTCTTTAAAATCCATGTTACATGTGCGTTGCGATGTTGCCAAATCAATGATTTGGCGCTCATACCATCTGACAACTGTCAAGTTTTAAGGGAAAAGAAATGTAGTTATACGAGGGGAAAATGGTAAGTAAGATTGTATTTTGCAGGTATGTGTATGGTAGGTTGGAATGAGTGAAGCGACTGCGTTTTTTCAATAATTCATTTTATCGATAAGGATCTAGATCTGATTTCCGGGCTGTTTGCATTTAAGGTGAGGTAATTTGGAATCAAAATCACATTTTTTTAAATTACCCTGAAAATCAACAAGTCATTTTTCGAAAAATGTGCATTGTAATATGTATATATCCATTGCAATGCAAAATCAGACGGCAAAGAACCGGAAAAATGCACAGGTTAATCATATGAGATTATTTCAAAAATCCTTGCGTACCCTGATATGAACAAAAATATTCATTGGTGTTAAGACCCATGAGAGGCTCTAAGAGACCCATTTTCCACCATAACTTCGATCTCAAAACACTTTCATTTTTTCAATGGCACCTCAAATTACCCAAGTCTGAGTTTCATTCAAAAGGTGAACATAGAATTTTTCCCTATGAAGTCACAGATATTCTAAGCTTTCCCATATGAGTTTTTGCTTCTGATACTTTCTCTGGCGCTAGAACCTCTTGTACCGCAATCAAAACATTTTAGGTTTATTTGAGGTTTAAACGGTTTTATTGTGGTAAATAAGAAGATAATGATTTTAAAGTTACACTGTATACTGCTAGGACTTGAAAACCGTTTAGCATTTAATACTGGTTATCAATAATCTAATAAGATTGTCAAATGAGATTAATTAATCCTAAAAGTTTATTTGTCATATTGAGTTTTACTTAAGCTTTGTGAAGGTTTTTTTTTTTGTTTTACTGAACGCTTTCAGTGTGAACCTTTTTATGCTGAAGGTGAGATTATTACAACCGCAATGTTTATCTAAAAAGCAAATGGTTTGAAGCGCAGTTTTATTTCACAGTTTCAAAGCATCCTTGGAACACTTACGAGGGATGTATTTTAAGTTTTGCATATGGAAATAAAACAACACGGTAGGTAGTTTTAAATGACTTTTTTGTTTTTCGAAGTATTCTCCACGAAGATTAATACACATCTGCATGCGCTCGAACCAATTTTCGAAGTACTTATTCCACTCGTTTGCTGGCAGATCCAAAACGGCATTTTTGAATGCGTCAACTGCTTCTTCTGGTGACTGTAACCTTTTACCACGCAGTCTGTTTTTAATTTTCGGGAAAGTAAAGAAATCGTTAGGACTTAGATCGGGACTATATGGGAAGATGGTCCAATAATTCCACGTTTTCTTCCGTTAAATACTGCCTTGTTTTTTGGGCTGTGTGCGAGCTTGCATTGTCTTGGTGGAGGATGATTCTTCTTTCGTGGTTGATTTTTCGAAGATCGGTGATGACTTTTGGCAAACAAATGGTGGTATACCAATCCGCAGTAACAGTTCTTTGCTCATTAAGAGGAATTGTTGTAATATGACCCGCTTTTGACACGAATGTCGCGACCATCTTTTTCGAAATACTTCGAGAACGGATGACTTTTGTTGGCTTTTCTTCACCTTGGAACACCCAAACAGCCGACTGTCGTTTATTTTCTGGTTCATAACAGTAAATCCACGATGCATCACCATTAACAATGCTGTACCCATTTTTTGAGTTTCCGGAATTGAAACGGTCAAGCGTTTTTTGACACCAATTAACCCTGGATGCTTTCTGCTCTTCAATCAACAGGTTCGGTATCCAACGAGAAACTAATTTTCTTACTCCTAATTCTTCATGTAATTTTTTTTTAATTGAGGTCTTCAAGGACGCCTCAATCTCGCGATATGTCACATGTCTATCTTCAATGATGAGTTCGCGCACAGCATCGACGTTTTCCTGGGTGACTGCCGTTTTTGGTGCACCCACCCTGGGACCGTCGCTAAGACTCACCCGTCCACGTTTGAACTCTGAAAGTTGTAATAAATTATGGCGTGAAAACGTTCTCGGTTGAGTTCCATTTTTCTAATGACTTGGTGACACTTAAAAATTCACTGTAGTGAGAAAACTGCACGTATTGTAGTGAAACTTTGAATTTAAGTTTACTAAAGAGTGAGGTTAAGATTCAGTACTGACGTCCGATCCGCGCGGCCTACTATAATCAAATCCAAGCGAATAACCAAAATTTCTGTGTTATGTGCCGCGGTTATAATATGGTTCAAGATGACACACGGGTTGATGACGTCAGTTACACGAATCGCTTGAACGCGTTGGTTTTAACCGCGGTTTTGTTGCAAGTTGTTTATTTTAGAAAAGCGCGTATATAATCTCTGATTATTTTTATTATCACTTAATAATCGGTGCTTTTTCGTCTACAACTGTATATGGAAAGTTTAAATAAGAAACCTTTCATAATATTCATGGAGAAATGTTTTTTCAGATTTTTTTTTTTAATGATGGAACCATGGCTTTGTAGCTATGATAACTTTCAATTCTCTAAATTTTTCCGCATGTCAAAGAAAACATTTATTGATTCAGCAGAAATGATGAAAAAAGAAATTAGCAAAACCGTATACAGGTGGATATCATCTAGTGAGTTTATATGGCCATATTTTAATATTCTTGTGGTATATGGCTACACAGGATACTTTGTTAGGCATAGAAACTACATTTAAAGTGTCCCCAACAACCGTAATGAGTATAACTAATAAGGTGCTCCACTTTATAGTAAAACTGAAGTCAGCCTGTATCATTTTTCTCAAAAATGAAGCTGAAGTACAATAACAATATCCAATACCCGGCAAAATTCTAACTTGTCACATTTCAAATAATAACCAGAAATATAAAACTACTCTTGAGTTGGGTAAATACCACAATTTTGCGGTGATAACTATGACATATAACAGCTGATTCGTGACGTCACGGATCTTATAACCAAACTGATAACTACACTCGCTTGAACGGATTGGTAAATACCAACCCAAAATGGTAAATACCATTTCCATTTGGTTATCCGCTTGAATTTGATTTATGTTTCTATATGCAAAACTTAAAAGACATCCCTCGTATTAAATCCGTTGGAGCTACTTGGGTCTTCAATCCCTTTTTGGGCATATTTCAATTGAGTATCTTCGGGCATTGATGAACGTACGCTCGCTTCTCTATCTCCAAGAAACACTACTGCCATCCAGCACGTATTTTATGAATTAC